AAACCCCAGATATGGCTATTATGAACTTAAAAAATAGGAAACTAGTAGCAGAAAGTGCAGCAATTCAATAGACAAACTCAAGTACCAAAAGAGTTGTTCAATATTTAACAATTGGCACATTAGTTAGTATAATACGGCCACGGAAATATACGAGCACGTGGAAATCAGAATAATTATATTCCACCTATGCTGAAGGAGTCATTCATGTAAACACTAAGAAATCACAATGATATGATAAGGTTTGGAGCAGAGATTGATATGCCCAGATGGAGTGCTCTGACGAAGGGCTAAGACAGGCAAGTGGATAAATGTTTTTATGAAGAATGAGGAGACATAGACAAAGAGTTCATGTTCCTGTTTGACTAATTTTACTAACTTATATTCAAATGGAACTCTGCTACCTCTGTCTTTGCCCTAAGATGTATAGAGGATGGCCATAGTTTCCTTGCTACTAGTACTCCTGTTAAACGACTTCTACCTTACATGTCAAGAGTTACTGTTCAATAAGAAATTGCATACAAAATAAGACTGAACTTTATCACATCAAAATGGACTGCAGCTTTGGCCTTTATGGTTATACAGATAAGCATGCTGGTAACAGTAATCATCAAGAAAATAACTTCGTAAAAAGGACTAATCGAAGCTTTGCTAAGGGGCAAGGAGGCTGAAATACACTCTTCGGTACACTCTGATTTGAGAACTTAAATTGACAAACTGAAGTAGCTTCCACATTATCTATACGTCTTCAACACTTGAACAGAGATCAAGCTACCCAACCATAAATAGGTTCTTTCTCATCAGATTTGGGGATTTGGCTGAAATTCTCATAATACATCCTGAGGCCCCATATACACTTTTTTAAAAATATATAGCCAGATACAGAAGTGTTTTTTCAGCATTTAATGCTTCACTCAAAGATTTTTTATGCTGCTGTAAGCGCCCCTCGATAAAGAAAGCATATCTGGAAGTCTTAATCCAGGTGAACACAAAACTAGTCATGAGCAACTTCAAACATCAGAGGACTGTCATAACCAGCGCAAATATCACAAAACTCACTATTTAAATCATGTGACAGAAAATGCAGCCGTCTAAAAAAGAGGGTAACAATACCAGGTCCGAATGCTGGTCGTGGCGGGGCTCACTGATGCTATTGTCATCCTCATCCTCGAGAAGATCAAAATAATTCCGAGCAGGCGGTGGAGAACCAGATGATTCAGAATCATCTTCACTGACCAGCTGCTGCTGTTGTTGCAGAGCAGCTTCTTGTTCTTTCAGAACTTTCTTCATCATTCGAGCAGACATTGTGCCCAATAATTTAAACAATCTGCCACAAATACATCAAAAAGTCGCAACTGTGATTGGTTTTTGCTTCAATGATAAACCATATATTTTTCTACATTCTTTTGACAGTAAGAAAAAAGTGGTTTACATATAGATTCATTATATACACATCTATCAGCGTAAGTCTTTCATTTTGTGTTCCTTCACAAAATATTTATAAATCTGCAAGCCCGAAAGCTCATACAAAACTCCAACACGAAGATAAACAACAATACAGGAAAATATCGAGTACCAGCGTATTCACATCAACATTAGACGATGGTTAACAACTCAAAATTAATCGAAACGTAAACCATCAAACTCACAGATTTCGTGACAAACTGCTTCAGGTAATCGTTCTTCAGCTCAGAAAACTCAATCCAAATCTCACGAGTTCCTTTCAGACAGATATGACGCGTGATAGTTGTTCCTCGAGCATAGAAAATCCTCAAACAAGCCTCTTTACAGTAAAAATTAACCTTTAAACGAGTTTCGGCAGCTCGATGTACGTTAGCAGAGCTAATATATTGGGAATTTTTGGGCGTGTATATGAGCCCTAACTATATCGATTATCAACCACGTCCTTTGGTTTTCTATTTTGTATTTTCTCATCCTCGTCTTTTTTGTATGTGCCTAAATTTATAACTTTTTTACCTTTTTATTATTTATCCCAAATTATTGATTTATTTATTTTTTATACTATTACTTATAAAAGGCAGAAGACAAAATTGTTCATATTCCATTACCTTGTTATTTTGATTTGATTACAATTGAACCAAAGAGACTAAGGAGGCGATTGTATACAAATTCTACAGTAAAAAAATCAATCAAAATTCAAACTTAACTCAACTTTAATTCAACTTTATTATCTCCAATATTATCAATATAATTAATAATATCAACCAATCATTCTTACACATCACATCAACTTTAATTCACTATCCATTTACTCACATAATTTTAACTAACTATCACTTCCAATCATTTTCTCCTAATTTTTACATCAAATCAACTTTAATTATTTTATTTTAAATATTACTTTAATATATCCGCTAACAACTAACCATACCATCTTTTTTCAAATTTAACTATAGTTAAAAAATAACCAATTTTTTACTAGTTGAATTCATATTCAATCACCCCCTAAGAACATTGGAATAAATAACACTCCTTATCTTTTAGTTTAAACATATCCCCTCTATATATAATTTCAGAATGCGCTGAGCCTACGTGACAAATTTTCATGCTTTGGAATCCTATTAGGCAAAAAATTATGCTTTGGAGTTAAGTTTGGATACAAATTAGTAATATTTATATTAATTGTATTTTAATATCGTTTCCTATTATAACCATTGAATTGAAAATATATTTTAAAAGTTGATAACTTTTGTATTTCTTATCGGTTTTACATATATAATATATCAAATTAATAATCTTTTGATGAGCTTCGATTTGATATCCATATTGTATATATAAAATAAATAAATTATATTTATCTTTATAATAATAAAAGAATTATTTATTAATATTAATTAGAAAATAAAATTATTATCAATTAATATCTTTATGTTTAATGTAGTTATCTGTTATAAGGTATAAAATTTATTATAATATAACACATATAAGTCGTAACATGTGTCATACTAAAATATATAATAATATATACTCCCTCCTATTTTTATTATTTGACACTTTGGCTTAATTGATCATTGATAAAATAAATGTCGTTTTAGTATTTTGCTCATATTTTTCCATTTTTAACCTTCCATCTAATACACAGTGTCTCTTCATATCTCATCTCCATCATTTCCCATAACATCTATTAAATATGGTTAAAATCGTCAAGAAAAAAAATCTTAATTAGTGTGTTGCATTTGAATTGGCATTATGAAGTCCGTTTGTATGTTACTATTTATTTATATATACAAATAATACAAAACAATAATATATATCCTTATAAATAAAATTTAAATATTTTATCAAACTAAAATAAATTATATCAAATAAAACTATAATTTATATTATAAAGTAACAGAAATTGGTATGTATTCTTTTAAAAATGATATATATTTCAAATCTAATTGGTATGTTGTCAATGTAATAAAAATAAATAATTATTTATATAAATTCTAAAATATAAAGTTAAAAAATTGTGAAGCACGACTGATACGACACTTAATGTATTAGACATCTAATTAAGTAAAAAAATTAATCTATTTTGTTTAATATTAAATAAACTCGACACTTATGCATATACATATCACCATGTTATTTCTATTTATTTAAGATATATATTTTTGTACTTATGTAATAGTAAATAATATCGATATTTTTATATGATATAAGTAAAAAAATTCAACACGGGTTGACATTTTCATTTAATGTACGGGTGCTTAATTATTATGATTAAAAAAATATAATTTGATAACTTAATTAAAACCCGAAATAATGTTTTATATAAAATTAAATTATTTTAGTTTTTTTTTTAAATAATACTTTTTATAAAAGCTTTCTAATTCAATACCCGTGTAATACACGGGTATTGTACTAGTATACTTATATAATAAAAATTAACATTTATCCAAAATAGTAGGTCAAATTATGGTCAATGTCGGATTTGCATTAAATATTTTCCAAAACCGGTAAGTTTTTGTCATTTTCACACTTCTCATTAATTATGTCCTTTTCACACTTTTCATTAATTATGTCCTTTTCACACATCTAATTAAATTATTCCATATGAGCTTTTATCGTTAAAATGTATAGCAATCTGTTATGACCTTATCCTATTGATATTTCCATGAAGCGTCCTTATCGCGTTCTATTTTTTGGTAACCACCGGATATTTGGTTAATGATAGCACACGTCTTTATTTCAAAGAGCGGATATTCTTTGACCTTTAATTAATTTGAACTGATTGTCTTGACTTTTCAATTTTTAAAAACTCTTTTTTTAAAAACTCTTTTTTATCGGACGTTGGTCTTTTCCTGAATAAACCCGTTTTTAGTCACGGCCAATTATATGTTGCTGCTTCGCGTGTAAATAATAGAAGGGAGTTGAAAATATTAGTTTGTGATAATGAGGAGTTACCAAATAATCAAACTCATAATGTTGTGTACAAGAAGGTTTTTAATAATTTATGATTGTAACCGAATTTTTTATGATTCAACAATGTTCCTATGTATTTTAATGATTTCAATTTCGATCCTAATGCACGTGAGATTATATTATTCTTCCAAATTTTACATTCCGTGCATCGCACGGGTTACGTACTAGTTTTACATTAATATTGTAACATATTATTTAGACAATATGACTTATTTTATTTCCAATTATACTCTTTTTGTAGACGCTTCTAGGTTTTAAAAGATCTGGCCTTTTTAATAACTGTGAAACCTTTCTCATCCTCCTTAATATCTCTCCTTCTTCCCCCTAACCTATCTACCCCATTTTTAATTCCTCTCTCTTTCTTTTATTTTACACGTTTCTTTCTTCTCCTTTATCGCAGATAATCAATTTTTTTTCCTTAATATGTTCCTCCATTTTTTTCTTTTTTTTTTTCTTTTTTCTTGTTCTTCTAAATTCACACACACACTCGTGAAAAAAAAAAA